TATTTATAGTTTAAAAACAGACAGATGTAAAAGTATGGTGATTTATAACTTTTTAACATTTAGTATTTGTGCATTTTACATTAGTATTATACAGTATTATACATTTTTCATTTTTCTGCTTGGCCTTCAGAGCAGGACATGCTTTCGCTTTCTCCTGAACCTGCCCCCCACCCCCACTTCCCTGCTTTGCTGCTTTTGCTCTTCAAGCTTTTTATCACCTACCATCCAAAACAAAAGGTATTATGGATTTGGTCAAATGTTCTCTGAACGCAATTGACACTATTTTTTCCACATTATGATGGAATGAGGGGAACATAGCTGTCTGGGTGGAACAGTAGCTGCCGGCCGTGTCAGCAGTTCAAGGGCTGGAAGCTGATGTGCCTGACACCACTTTTCATCAAGGACGTGGAAGATTTATATATTTATTTGGATTTATGATAACTGGATTCCTGCTGATCGGTGGAGGAGGGTTCCAGGTTTATCGAAAAGTGAAAGTGACCCTGACAGCTGTTCGGGCCTTTGAGAAGCTGTTGGGCGCACTTGAAGGATTCTGCCAGGCTGGTAGCACACACTCTCAGCTGGGGAAAGTAATTCGCAAACTGSATGTGATTCTAGCGAGGATCACAGCTCAGCAGTGAGCCTCTGGTATGTAAGGATAACACCTGGATGAAGCTTCAGTCAGTGAGAGGTGGGGAGGACCCCAAATTTGGCTGATTGGTTTTTCTTTTTTTTCTTTTTTTCGCCACTTCAGAGATGCAGTTAAGATATTTAAAAGCACCAGAAAATTTTAAGGCTGCTTTGATCCAAAACAGATTGGCTTGTCTATTGGCTCCCAGCGAAATGGACTTGATGGGCGTGTTATCTGAAACTCCCTGGGATGGAATATCAACAAAGACTTGATCCCCTCCTTCACCTGTGCTGGTCCTGGCTCCGGACCCAAGGCCGAGGAAGAGAAACTCTGAACTCTGGCTAAAYGAACAGGAGACAATAACATCATGTGACTCTGGACTCTGGACGGGGCCAGGGTTGGGTCCTAGCATGGACCCTCCTCCCTCAACGTCAYCTACTCCTCTGATCCCGCCCCATCTTACCTCCTCCCTATGTGTTATYTGACCTAAGCCCCCCCATCCCCCRCTCAAGTTGTCTGCTCTCTTGCGAGTCATTTTTTGTGCACATGATTCTGATGTAAACATAGGATCAGAGCAATTTTTAACTCAACTTTCCATGTGCTTTTTAATTTTTTTTATTATTTTTGTTCTGATAAACACACTTTAACATAAATACTGGAACACAATTGAGCTGCAAATTGCAAAACCTATTGACAAAAAAACAACAACATCCATGGTGATGACACAAAGGTAAGAATCTGTCACTGTGCACACGTTTGAATTTTACAAGCAGAAAAAATGGCAGAAAAAGTTGATTGAGCATAAAGTCATAATTCATTTTTAACATTTTGACTGAAAAAATGCACTCTGTAATCTGATCCAAGCACATCTTCCTTATTTTGAACTAATTATTCTTCTGTGTGCATGATGGGGAAAAAGATGCATTCGTAAATCCTGAACAGGCATTTTGATTTAGCAGAGGAATGAACATGACAACATTGAGTAGACAAATGGATCACAATGTAGCCACTTTGAGACTATCATTTTATAACAACCAGAAATCCTCTAGCTTTCATTCATAGAAGTCATAAATGATGTGCCAGTCTTCATTAGGGCAGCAGGAATCTTCTGTCTGAACTGCTCGTGTTAAACCCATATCTCACTGGACTGCAAAATTTGATCAAAGTTTTACGAGGTAGTTTCCAAAACGTCTTGAAAYGTTCACAAAGCTTTTTAAATTCCTCACATGAGTCAGAGGGCCCCACTCTTGTGTCTATTGTTTTAAACATGTAGGGAAACTTTGTGAGACAACTTTTGTCACACAACAGTCAGAGTTGTTGTGCTTTAACACTTCATTTACACACTATTTACTTTTTGTTATTCAATTTCCAGCTAATTTAGGTCCAAATATCAGATATTTTCTCTAAAGTGGTGTTCAGTGTGATTCCAAGTGAAAGCCTGTGTGTTCCTCACAAATTATGTCTCCAAAAGTCATAGTCCAATGATACTACCTGTAAGATTTTAAGAGGAATGTTGATAAGGACCATCTGTAGAGACACGATGTTCTAAAACCATCCCTTTTAGAAAAAAGGATCAAGTGGAGTGTGTTTATTCAAAAGACTCAAATTTTGTCTTCTTCCTTTATAAAATGTAAAACTTTGCATATTTTAGAGACTTAAATTGCTCAAGGTGCAGTTGAGAAGAGCAGGGTTTCTGGTTTTGGGACCGCAAGGTTTCGTTTCTGCTTTTTGCAGATGATCTGGTTCTGTTGGTGTCTTCAAACTATAATCTTCAGCATACACTGTGGCAGGGGGTTCAAAGCTGAGTGTGAAGTGGCCAGGATGAGTGYCAGCTACTGTGTCTGACGTAATGCTTCCAACCAGTAAAGTTCTCTCAGGTACCTGGGAGTTTTGTTCACGTGATGATGGAGCGGAAGGTGGATCAAGTATTGAGGACATTATGCTGCTTCGGTCTGTCATGATGTAGAATAAGCTGAGCTGAAAAGCAAAGCTCTTATTTTACTTGTCTGTCAACTTTCCAACCCTAATCTTTCATCATAACCCCTAAAAAGAACAAGATCCTGGATAGAAGTGGCCTTCTGGGCATGTACCAATAAGGGGACAACCTTGGGTAGACACAGACCTTTTTGGAGGGGTTACTTTATTCTCAATGGTTTGAAAACATCTTGGGAGAGGGATGTTCTGGGTTTTAGTCCTGGATTATTTGTTTCACGCGACCACGGAAGAGAAAGTGTTGATGGATTTAAACTGAGCAAACCAAAATAATAGGTTCAAAATTAAAAACAGCTTTCAAACATTATTCTTTGAGTCATTTGACATTTTAAGAAAATCGTGTCAAATTTGATTCTGTTGTTTATAACAGCAGCTTTTACCAAAATCTCCCAAACGTATCAACAGTTATAAACACTACAAGTCTGCTGGGAACAAAGACTAGTCTGATGGACTACTTCTGTTTTAATGTACACACGGTATCTGAGAGATATTAGCCCTCTTGAGTGGTATCTGGACCAGAGACAGCTGAAAAGAGGTTTATGGTTTCTTTTGGGGGKTTTTTGCAGGATTTTTACAACACATGTACATCTGTACATGAAGACGTAAATTCTGGCAACTTTCACAGTTCGGTGTTTCTTCAAGCATGTCTTCAGTTACAAACATACTCAGTCCAGCTGGAGACTTTTAGAGACTTGTTTTTATACAAGTCAAGTAGAAATTTAAACTCTGAGGACAGAAGCTGGTAATGAAGGTCCCATTGGCTTCATGTTGACACATAATTGAAGTCTCTGTCCCTGAAGCAGTCTGCAGGTGGAGGGTCTAAGTCCAGAGGGGTAGCCACTGCCCAAGCCCTTCAAAGAAGTCTCGCACATTTGACACATAGAAGTCGACATTGTGAGAGAAGTCAGTGCAGATGTTGGAGTAAGAGCCCACCAGAGTGCAGTAGAGTGTCGTCCCACCAATGCTGATCACCACAGTCACCAGGCACAGCAGCAGCAGGATGAGACACGAGTCTCCTCCCACCTCGTCTACATGGAGGACATGGATAAATGTTAGGAGCATCATGGTAATTAAACACTTTGATCGTATGAAACATTTCAACATCTGTTCCGGATTGGTTCTAATCAGATCTATGCTTGTTGCACTGCACCTTGCTCAATGCCATCCTCAGGCTCACTGAATCGAACTTTACGTTTGGAGATCTGTTGATCTGCGATGGTGCTAGGGGGAGGCAGTCCATCCAGAGACGCTCGCCTCCTCTTCAGAATGGACACCAGACCATCTGGGGAGGAATTCTACCGGAGACACATCAAGTTGAGAACAGTAAGAAGTTGTTTCTTCTTGTTTATCTTTAAGAACCACTTGCTTAGAGCTTAAATCCAAAATGGAATTTAAACTGTGTCYATCCCAGTTTAAAGCCTTTTTACTGGGAAACATCTAAAAATATTTCAGTTTTCTGTTTCTCAGTGAAATTTCTAGGTCAAAGGGTGAGCGGTCTAATTAGATCTTTACTAACTCAAATTCACAGAAGACCTGTGTATATTGAACTCTGCAGTGCCAGTGAAAATGTCTGGAAATCAAAGGTTTCATTTATATGTGTCAAATCCAAGGCCAACAAGTCAAATGTGGCCCACCACTGCATTTTGTGCGGCCTGCAAGAGCTTCAAAGTTGTATTAATGTCTCCAGAGCAGGGGTGCCCAACCTTTTTTGAACCAAGAGCTACTTTTGAAGTTGGCAGTTTGCCGAGATCTACTCATCCAGTCTAAGTATCAAAAAACAATTTTTCATCTCCCTACTCCTCACTTCTTTAAATAAAACAGAACATAATGTGTTGCTAGTTTGATTTAATTTAAAGTATTGTCAAACAAAACTATCTACTTAACCATATATTTGCCTAGAAAAAAAAAGAAAAGATAAAATCCTTACTTAACTCCTGACAGAGAAACAGAAAAGTGATGCTCTAACAAAAAGGATCAATTTTTTTAACCTCCTTCAATTAGTACTCCCTGTAACGTGCGAGCTGAGGGCTGGAAACCTGCACACTGAGAGAACCACAGACTTAAATAACTTTGGAGCAAGGGAACTCGTCTCCCTTTATTCAAAGAACTCTCTCCTCTTTCTCTCCGTACAGGGGAGGAAAAACAAAACATAAAACTAAAGTCAAAGCACACAATATAAAACTCTCTCCTTTATACTATTACAAAAAGTGACTTACGATGGTGCAGATTCACATATCTCCAACAAC